CTGTCAGAGTTGACCGCCACGTCAGTCAAAGTTAACGGAGGTTAACGGAGAGTGACCGAACTTGAACTGTTCAACTAATTCGAGTGACTATAAATGGAATAAATTAATTTGAGTGATAAACGTGAAATTTTATAGCAATTCGAGTGACCAAACTTGCAATTAAGCCTATTTTCTAAGCACAAGTTCCTAAACCAATTGTATGTAAAACAATGGAAATAATGTTTTCGAAAATATGTATCAAACAGTAGCATGCAAATGAAAGCGTAACTAATACAAATAATATTATTTTCGATGATCATAAATTCATAATACAAATAACATTTGATTAACCAATAGAATTAATTTGTTTCCAAATATGATTAGGAAAAGGAAAAATGATACATCCTAATCGAAACCGGAAAGTTTGGAGTAAATCTATAGATACACCCACGGCCTTTCCAAATTGCTTTTGCTTTCCTGTTATTACTCACACTCACACTCACACTCACACTCACTCACTAGCTCGCTCTCTGTTTTCCAGCGATCCCGCCCTTTTCCTTCTATCACAATCGCGCGAGAGATCAAGCTCGCGATCGCCGACAAGAGAATGAGTAAGTTCGATCTCCATCCTCGCCGCGACGTAGGGTTCCGATTCCTCCCCACCGACGAGGAGCTCGTCGTGAATTACCTTCTCAGCAAGCTGATCGGAGTCCCGCCACCCTCCGGCGACTACGTCAACGACTGCGACCTCTACGGCGACGTCGAGCCATGGGAGATCTGGCACAAGTTCAGAGGCCGCGGCTGCGAAGAAGAAGAAGAAGAAGACGAAGATGCCGCCGACAACGATCTCTACTTCGTTACGCCGTTGAAGAAGAGAACCGCGACCGGGTTGAGAATCGACCGAAGCGTCGGATCCAACGGCGGGACGTGGCACGGGGAGGATTCCGGCAAGGAGGCGCAGACACCCGACGGGCTGGTTTCGTGGACTCTGAAGCGGTTCAGCTACAGGCCCAAGAAGAGCAAAGGGGAGAAGAATGGTCTTGAGCCGACGACTTCGTGGATCATGCATGAGTACTGCCTGCTGGATCGGCCCATCCCTTTTCTTGGGCTGGACTCTGCCGCCGCCACCAGGCTCGCAGTCTGCCGGATTAGGAAGAAGCAAGGTTCTAATTCCAAGAAGAGGAAGAACAACAAGGGACCCAAACTGATTTTTATCGATCTCGAGGACGATGATTACAACGACGTCGTAGAGGTGGAATCGTCAATAATCGACAACAAGCGACAGAAGGTCGATACGACGCCGTTTCAAGCGGAGACTCAAAGTTGCTTGTTGGAAGTAAAAGAAGGCTGCGGCTGCGGAAACCCCGACGAAGGAGCAGTAGCCTCGTACGTAGCAGAGCTTGAGCGTTGCTTGTCGGAAGTAAATGAAGACTTCGGCGGCGGAAATGTCAACGGCGGCGAAGGAGCAGTAGCCTCGTTTGAAGGGTGCTTGTCGGAAGTAAGAGAAGACTGCGGCGGGGACAACGGTGGCAACCAGGGGCGGAGCCAGGATTGAAAGTTCGGGGGGCCGGATTTATTTAGTAAATTATTGTGAAAATCCAAAGATAAAAATAAATGATAACGACACATATTAATTAAAATAGAAAAAATTCAAAATATAAATAATTTAAAGTTTGCTAGTATGTTATACTCAAAATAAATATTTATACTGTGAGCAAAAATTATCATGCATTTTAACATGTAATTGTTTTATACCTTGAATATGAATTTATGATTATATTATTGTTTTTAAAATTTAATTAATTACATATCCAAAAACAATCTTTGAAAATATGAATGTAGAAGTTTAAGAACTTGACTGAATTTATTTGAAATTACAGGATTTATAAGACAAATTAGAAAAATTAGAGGATTAGACAAAATAGAAAAATTAGAGGATTAAACTGGAAAAAAACTGTTAAAATTATAAAAAGCAATGCTGTCTATCAAAATCGAACCCTGAACCTTCTAACTAAAACTGCATGAATTCTCCGCTACACTACAAATCTGGGCTGTTAATAAGATTTCACTCGAATTTTATATACTTGTTAGATTGAGTTTATACGTAATTCTCGAAATTTCCTAGGACTTTATACGTAAGTTTCAAAATTCTCGGGGGGCCGGGGCCCCCCGAGAGCCTACATAGCTCCGCCCCTGGTGGCAACGAAGGAGAACTAGAAGAAGCTTTGTTCGATGCGGAGATTGAAGACTGCTTGGCGGAAGTAGAAGAAGAAGAAGGATGCTCCGGTGGTGACGGCGACGAAGAAGAAGACGATGGATCGTGGTTGGAAGCGGAGATTGAAGGATGCATGTCGGAAGATGAGCTGGCCGCCTCTACGACGTCGGATTTCGAAGCCCTGATTCAGCAGTACTTTTCAGCGGGCGCGGCGCCGGGAGTTGTAACGTCGTCGGCCGTCGCAGTCCCTAGCTACTGATAGTTCCGACGTAATTAGATTTTCCGTACTTTTCAGCGTAGAGAAGTATTTTGTTATTAAGGATGTATATGTGTCGCAATCTTAATGGTTAATTAGTGGTTCTCGTTCATTAATTGACTTAGAAATTAATGAAGTATATATTGATGCCTGCATGGATAATTTGTACGTAAATGAGATGGCAGCCATTCCTGCCACTTAGTAATTAATGAAGTATTGAAGTATAGGACTAAAGAGCCGTCCTTTACGTGCTCAAATCAGGGAAGATCAATGAGTCAGATGACCACTTATATAGAATTATATAGAAATTATACCCAAAACCTATCCAAAAGATATAGATTTTGATGTTATTAAAAACCAAATTTATGTGGGGCTTGGTCATAAATGTTTTTCATAAAACAAAATGTATAAGTAGAAAATAAGACAAATGTGATAGTGAGGTGGTGCTTAGCAAATAAGTTGACGGTAGGGATGACAATGAGATCAGATTGAATCCGATTTCACCAAATTCAAATCTAATCGAGTAAGTACATTAAAAAAAACTCAGCTAAATAGTCAATGAGTTCTGAAAGAAAAAACCCAATCCAATGATGAGTACCCACATGGGTGTATGTGACATAACCGCAAATAATTACTAAGACACCCATATTCTTAGAATTTTGAAAATTTTAATATTATACATTATCATGAAGTATCCATATAATTGAGCCTATTTCTATAAAATCTAATATCGTATATAAATTTTTAAAAACGAATGAAACTCATTCTCAATTCAAAAACTGTAAACACTATATAGACCTTACTCACGCATATCAAACTGAGAGTTAAGGAGTCGCTTGGAGAACAAGATTTAGGCAGTAGATTCACTGAATTTTTAGATTTTGCAAAAAATTATGTTTTTTTATTGCTTTTTGTATTGTGGATTGTCCACTAGTTAATTGTTCGAATTTGTTTATTTTTTGGAACTGAAATCCACATTTGGTTTTCTTGAATATACTAGTCAATAAAAAGAGAATAGAATTTACATGTGGATAATGTATGTTTTGAGATACTAGACAAAAGTAATTGAAAAAATGGATTCAAAACCCTTTTTTAGGAGGTGGCTTAAGGTTAATATGAAAATTTGAGTACCATGCCAAATTGTATACATATTTTGTATTAATTTGGAGACATGGCCGAGCAGTAAGGCGGTGGAGTGAAAATCCTTTTTACCCGGGTTCAAATCCTGGTATCGCCTGAGATCGACCGATAAGAGATCATTTTGAATAATAGTTCTAGATTTTTGTTCATTCCTCATTGTAATAATATCTCGGGGTTTGCAGCGATAACTTGGTATATCTACTATATGATCGACCATTATCTAAAATATGCACAGATTTCAAATTTCTAAAATCTACGGATATCAAATCTCTAATAATCAGAGAGATTTTATATCTTAATTCATGAGCTTTTTTCTCCTACTTTTTCTCTTCATTTTATTTATTTATTACATTAAATATATTTCACAACAAAGTTTTTAATATTCTCGAATCCCTCTAATTTTGTTTTATTAAGGATTAACATATTATTAAATATAATAATATAGTTTTTATTTTCATTGAATGTTAACAATCACAAATATCAAATAATAAATATTTTAAAATATATTTTCATAAACTAAAAAATTAGAATATTTAGATTGTTGACAATCTATCAATTTAAACTCCATGCTAGTAGTTTTGTTAGCAATGTAAAATTGCCAAGAAGATGTTGAGTTGGAAGAGACAAATGGCGGTCAACATTTCAAAATTTTAATATTTAAATTAAGAAAATAATTAAAAATTTAATAACGATAACAAACACATAGTAATTTTCTGATACGTTACAAAATATTTGACTAATAATTGTATTTACTCAAAAGCTATTAAAAAAATTAAGTATTTAATGCAAAAGCAAAACTTACATATTTGATAAGGCTAAATTACATTTTTAGTCACTCAAATTACATAAATATTTCACGTATGCCACCCAAATTGTTTTTCTTTCTTATTTGCCACTAACTTTACAAAACGTTACACCGTTAGTCACTGGTCGTTAGTCTCCGTCAGACTCCGTTAACTCCGTTAGTTTTTAATGACGTGGCAAACAGAAATGCTGATTGTACGTTAACTTATGACATGTTCATTTAAAAAAAATAAAAAATTAATTAGAAAAAAATTAGGCGAGTTCCCAATGGATACGTCCGTCGCCTCCTCGCCGGAGCTCGGTGTCTAAGATACATCCGAGCACAATCAACTGTACCTTTCTCTTGTTTCCAGTTGAAACTCCGGTTCCTGACAAAATATTGATATTTGTTTATTTTCTCGTCCAATAGATCGAGTTGCTTGCTCCGTCAATGGCAGATTCACTCAGATTTCTAGGGTTTTCGGATTGAACCAATTTTGTCGAATTTGACGAGCATTGAGCTGATGTGTTCGATTTTGGATCGGAATTGCCGATTTTTAATGGAGTAAGTGAGATTGTCATCTGGATTTTTCCTCTCCCGAAGAAATATCGGAGGTGACGAGCTAGATGGAGTCGTCGGAGAAAGAAACCGACCTATCTCAAGGCGATACAGGCGCAATGGGGCAGGAGACACACGAGGACGAAGATACAATACTCTCCTGCCAGACCTTGGTGAATTTCATGCCCTTCGTCGGCCAGCTGTTCGTCTCACAGGACGCTGCTTACGAGTTCTACTGCTACTTCGTCGCCACCGCACCCACGGAAAAGACGGCATCGACAGGGGAGTAACCGCGCGATCTTTCACCTGGCATCGTGGCAGTTATCCTCAAACGAAACACTTAGAGGAGAGTGGCGGTAGCGAAGGCGGAGGGAAAATGCAGCGGAACCACAACCCAGGATTCCTTGCTGCTCTGTTTGTTCCGCCTGAGGATAGGTAAAGGGAAGAAGACGAGGGAGGGGATGGTGGGTAACTCCTCTACTGATTTTTGTTTAATTACATTTTTTTTTAATTTTTAATTTGTAAATGGATCTGTCATAACTTAACGGTATAGTCAGCATTTCTGTTTGCCACGTCATCAAAAAATTAACGAAGTTAACGGACTCGGACGGAGACTAACGGCCAATGACTAACGGTGTAACGTTTTGTAAAGTTAGTGGTGAATAAGAAAGAAAAGTAATTCGGGTGGCAAACGTGAAAGATTTATGTAATTTGAGTGACCAAACATGTAATTTAGCCTATTTGATAAACATAATGAAAGTAAATCAATACAATGCAAGAACAACTAGATTGACCAATAAGATATAGGTGGATGAAATTTTTTATGGACGATATGTTCTAAGCGTAAGCTCTGGAGCAATGTAAATAATGTTTTCGAAAATTATAACTATATATGTTCTAACTGATACAAATAATAATATATATTTTTGGTAATCAAAATAAAAATAACATTTGATTTACCTAAATAAGTAGTTTGTTTCCAAATTTGTTAAGGAAAAGAAAAAAATGATGTTCCTAATGGAAACCGGAAAGTTGGAGCATAATCTACTCTACTTATAATACGCTGAAGGGGAAAACAACTTCCCCATTTCAAATTTGCTGCCTCCGGAGCGTTTCTCGGAGGGGTATTTTCGGACACGGGAAAAATACATTGGATCATATTGCGACGTTGAACGGGCCTAGTGAACGGGAAAAATACATCGGTTTTCACTTCTCGCCTTCCCTTGGACAAAAGGTCCTCTTCTGTTCAAACTCCTTTCGTTGTGCACGAAGTCCAGTTTGTTTTTTGTCGATGGTTCTTCGAGTTCATGCATACCCCTGTGTATTTGTGTTCTGGTCGGGCTTAGGGTTCCCCATTCTCATGAACATGTAGCATTAGGGATTGGAATTGAGCCGGTTTTTTTGTAATTAGGGTTTGTACAGCCTACTCCCTTTCAATCGAGTAGGATTCCCGCCTTGGGTTGCCCTCCTTAGCCATCGATTTCGGCCCACCATTGAAGAATGGGTCTGGGCGGCAAAGACGATGGCTTTCCTGGTCAGGTAATCTTCTTTTTGTTAATGATGACTCGATATTTGCACATGTTTCCCCCTTTGTTTCTTGATTGTTTGAGCTTTAATTATCGCGTCTTTGGCCTATTTTGCGCTAGGTTGTGTTCCTTTGTCACATTTCAGGTCCTAGCACATAAAGTGAAGCATAGGCGCAAGTTTCAAGTCAATCAAAGATCAATTGGCGATTAGGGAGAAGAAACTCGGGCATGACCTGAAGAAGAATGGATTTCTACCTCACTAAAGAAAAACACGGCCGTGTCCATATTTAGGCACGACCGTTTTTTGGCCGACGAGGGCTGCTGGGGGCAAAACACGTTCGGTAAAAGTAAAACACGGCCGTGTCCTCGACCGTGTTTTCCCAGAATCGGGTTTTTTAGGCAGATTGAAGCCAAAGGAAAGGGGGAGCTGGGTTTTGGATCCCAAACACCCAAGGGACGAACCAAAGAGAGAGAGGGCGATTTGAGGGCATTCTAAGAGTGGAATTGGAGCAATTCTTTGCCTTGGAAGCTCGAGGAACAAGCCCGGACTTGAAGACTGATCATCTGAAGATTCTTACTGCAGTCTCTCTCTTCTCTATGGAGTAACTTCCCTTCACTTAGGTTTTGAGGAACCCTAGCTATGTTTGCTTGATTGGATGATTGTATGAGTACTCTGACTTGATAATCTTGAGTTCATATTCAATCTATGCATGTTTTCATGATTCAATTCTGCTTTAGTCGAGATTATTGATTCTGCTTTGATCCTATGAGAGCGAATACCTGATTAGGTCAACAAAGCACCATAGATTGATAGTAGTGGATCGATTGCTTTAGTCGAGGGTTGATTCACTGCTTTGTATCGATTGAGAACCTCATTCGATATAGGGAATCTAATTCAGAACGCCTTGATCGGTTGTTCTAGAGAAGGATACGTCCCTCTAGGCAATTGACTCAAGAGGGCCTTATTCCTTTAGTCGAGACTCAAGGTCTAGTCAAGGATTCTCCGCATTGTGAATGAAAGTGAAACAAGTTAGAAATCATCAATCGTTAGTCTGGCTAGTGGCTAGGGGGAATCATACCTAAGTGAGTTCCCAACCTGTAATTAGATTAACTTTAACTGTAGTTTGCTAGAGTAGTTTTAGTTCTTCCTTATTAATCTGGTTTGCTAAATAATGAACTGAAGCTGAGTAATAGTAACTCTAGAGACCCGTGGATTCGATTTTTATTACTTGAGCCGCTATACTGCAGTCCCTTTCATTGGTTACACTTGGCCTTTGTTAGGAGTTGTGTCGTAGCGAGTCAAGTTTTTGAAGCCATTGCCGGGGACTTTCTAGATTATTAGGAAAGGCAGAAGTTTGTTACTTTAGCGTTTTTCTTTTCTTTTCTTTTCTTTTCCACCCTTGCTTTTTACTCCGGTGTTTTTGTTTTTGTTGGTGCAGATCTGAATCATGGATCCTCACGGCTTCTCCAACCAGTGGGGGTATCCACCACTAGGGATGGCAACCAAACCCGAACCCACGGGTACCCACCCAACCCAACCCGGTCAACGCGGGTAAAATCCGTGTTGACGGGTTTTGGGTCGGGTTTGGGTTTAAACCCGTTCACTATTCACCAGGTTGGGTTGGGTTTGGGTTTAGGTAAACCCGACCCGTGGGTACCCGCCCACACATATAATTAATTTTCTCGGTATATTTAATATTTTAAACAACTAATCATATTTATGTTTGTGGAGACATGTCTAATTTTTTCTTTCTAATTGTGTAGAATGAAGTTTGTGTTATTGAGTGGAGAGTGAAGAAACTTAATTGAAAGGAAGAAGCCTTCAATTAATATGTTATTTATGGATAATTTATGATTTACTTCAATTTTCCTGAGTTTTCTAGATTGGTGTTGAACAATTTGTATAGTTAATTTGTGATTTGCTTGAATTTTCTAGAATGGTGTTTTAAATATGAATAATTTGTATTGAGAGATTGATATTTGACTTTAATTTTGATAGGAACTTGTTATTGTAAATTTTTTACGACAAAAACCCGTGGGTACCCATGAACCCGCGGATACCCAGCGGGTTGGGTTGGGTTTGAGTTTTTCAAACCCAGTGGGTTTTACCCCGGGTTTTTTTCACGGATAAATCCATGGGTTTGGGTTTGGCAAAACCCGACCCAACCCGATCCATTGCCATCCCTATCCACCACCATCCTAGTGGTATTACCCCGAGACCCCCTAGAGCAATCAAGGAGGAGAAGACTATGGATTGGGATTCCATTACCCACCCCCTTACTACGGAGAACAATCAGACCCCTGGGCATATCAAGAACAACCTCCTTATCAAGAAGAATTTCTCCCACAACCAGAAGGGCCATCGGAGCTGGAGTTACCCATGGCGGCCTTCACGGGCCATTCTGCAGAGCCATGCTACACTCCACGACCAGATCCAAACTATCAATTGAGGCTTCTCATGGAGCAGTTTGCTCGGGACTCCGAGAGACACAATCGTAAGATGGACCTCCTTTTCTCATCTTTTGCTCCTCCTAACTCTTCATCCCTCCATGAATCGGAGGAGACTGTTTCGCACTCATCAAAGCAACCAGAGCGGGTTGAGCAAGTTTGTGCACAACTTGCTCAAGATCACCCGTCTGCTACCATACTAGAAGAAGAGGAGGAAGAAGAAGGCTACAAGGACATTGTGGAGCACACTGAAGTTGTCACGGAGAGCTCCCGTGATGATCATGATCAGGAATGTCCTGTCGTAGCCGACCACACCTTCCCACATCCCAAACTGAGCTTTGAAGAGGCGGGCATGAGTGAGGAGATCCAAGAAGATCTCATGAAAGAAATTGCTTGGCAACTTGCTCTCCAATCCGTGCTAGAAGAAGAAGAGCAAGAAAGGGTGCAGAAAGAAGTTGTGGAGGATGACGAAAGTGAAGCAGAAGGAGTTCTTGATCATTTCCCAGGGGTGATACCACATGAAGAAGAAAGGGAGGTTGAAGAAGCAATTGGCGTCCAGGCTGAGGACGGAGTTAAGGTGGAAGAGGCTTGCACCGGCCATGAGTTGCAAGTAATATCCCCACCAAACTTCGAGGAACTGCTTAGAAAGGACCCATTTGCAGTGTCTCTTTGCCAGAACAAGGCCACATAGACATCGGTTCCTCTTGGTGGATGCGATGGTGGCCAATCGATGCTGTCATATCTGGTTTGGGGCAATGAGACGAGAGAAGAGAAGAAGAGGTCTGGAGGGTGGAGACTTCATCTGCATCAAGTGCATGAGCCTTTATCACCTGCCACACCACATGCTCGTGACTTGAGACTCCACCTCATTGACAAGAACCTCAACTTCAAGGAGGTTTTGGGGTGGACCGAAACTTAGGAACTATCGTCCGGCTCATGACGTGAAAGAAGCGCTTGTTGGGAGGCAACCCAACCAGTCGGTTTGCATTTCTTTCCCTATTTCTCCTTGGTTGAGTCAGTTTTGTTATTTGATTTTAGAGTCAATAACTCAACCTTTGTGAGATTTTATGTGGTGTTTGTGTTCTGACTACTCTCTCCTCCTGGAATGCACCGCCTGCCTCGTCCACCATCATTCACCCTTGATCTGGTAACTTCGTTCTACCCTCCTTATCTTTCCTCCATTGAGGACAATGTCGTGCTTAAGTGTGTGTGGGGGGGGGGGGGTGTTCGATTATGTATGCGGGTGAATGTTTGGTTGTTTGTGTGCTTGGAGCCTAGTCCACTGTCCAATTTTTTAAATTTGAGGGCTCCAAGTA